AAAGTTAATTGTGAGGACCTATATTTCTTTCTAGTAACATTAAAATAGTTGTCATATTTCATAGAAAACCTAGTATCATCAATTGAGAAGTGCAGTACTCTTCAGAGGCCATTTATTTCAACTCTCCCTTCCCAACTCTTGAATTTACTGAGGCCTGCTAAGGCTCAAGGAAATGAAATGGCTTCGCCAGATTATAGAGCTCATTTATCCATGACACAAATTTCTATTAAAAACTTGTAAGTCAGTCAAGGTATAATCCCAGGTATCAAAAAGCTGATGGAAACCTTGAAATTAGAACTCTAGGCTAGAACTAACAGAGCTAAATACAATCCAGTCCAAGAAAAGAATTATTGAGAATCTGCAATGGGCGAGACTGCGCTAAGGATTTGGGGAAGAAAAAAAAAAGCAACTGAAAAAGTCTCTGTCGTCAAAGAGTTTAAGATCCATTAAGCAAAGAATTCTTTTTTAAAAAATTTTTATTTATTTATTTTTAGTTTTCAACAATCACTTCCATAAGCTTTTGAGTTTTAAGTTTTCTCCCCCTCCCTTCCCTTCTCCCTCCCCAAAACAGCATGCAATCTGATATAGGCTCCACATATACACTCCAATTAAACATATTTTCACATTAGTCATGTTGTAAAGAAGAATTAGAACCAATAGAAGGAACCACAAGAAAGAAGAAACAAAACAAAACTGAAGAAAAAAAATCAAATGGTATGCTTCAATCTGTATTCAAATTCCCTAGTTCTTTCTTTGGATGTGGATAGCATTTTCCATCCTGAGACTTTAGGAGATGTCTTAGATCCTTGCATTGCTGAGAAGGGCTAAGTCTATCAAAGTTAGTCTTCTCACAACATGGCTGTTGCTGTATACAATGTTCTCCTTGTTCTGCTCACTTCACTCAACATCAGTCCATACAAGTCTTTCCAAGTTTTTCTGAAGTCTACCGCTCATCATTCCTTACTGCATAATAGTATTCCATTATGTTCATATACCACAACTTGTTCAGCCATTCCCCAGCTGATGGGCATCCTCTCAATTTCCAATTCCTTGCCACCACAAAGAGCTGTTATAAATATTTTTGTACATGTGGGTCCTTTTCCCATTTTTATGATCTCTTTGGGATACAGCCCTAGAAGTGCTATTGCTGGGTCAAAGGGTATGCACGTTTTTATAACCCTTTGGGCATAGTTCCAAATTGCTCTCCAAAATAGTTGGATCATTTCACAACTCCACCAACAATGCATTAATGTTTCAATTTTCCCACATCTCCAATATTTATCATTTTCCTGTTCTGTCATGTTAGCCAATCTGGTAGGTTTGAGATGGTACCTCAGAGTTGTTTTGATTTTCATTTCTCTAATCAACAGTGATTTAGAGCATTTTTTCATGACTATAGATAGCTTTAATTTTTTCATCTGAAAACTGCCTGTTCATATCCTTTGCCCATTTATTAACTGGGGTAAGCAAAGAATTCTTAAGCAAGGAATAGTCACTAAAATCAAGAAAAGCAGACCTAGCCTCTCCTCAAAACATGATTCATAAAGGTACAAGGTGAAAGTGCTCAACTTAACTACTTTTTACTCACAACTCCCTTCGGTAAAAGCCCAATTTATAGTACTTGTCTTGAGGCAACAAAACTACTTTCCCCCATTATAAAAACTGATATTAAATTAGGTGGAAAATACTTTGCCTCCAAAGACAGGCAGCAGAAATATCTTCCACTAGGGTTCAAGGAGACACAAAGCAGCCTACTGTTATAAAAATCTACAGTGGAAAAATGCATGATCAGTTTTATTTTTACCACATGTTTTGGTCCAGTCAACAAGAAAAAAGCTGTTATACCTTTCAGCGTTTTTTTTTCCCCAAAAGATAACATATTCTCTTTGGAACTCTTTATAACAAGGCATAATATTTATAATGGTTAATTTCCTAATTTCTACTAGTTTTACAGAGATTAAATATACATAATGTATTTATTTTATATCTTGAACTTGACTTTAATTCTTGGTTAATGTATTATATTAAATATAAATTATGTTTATATATTTTGTAACATATTAAAATATATGTTAAAGACATGGTTAGCGAAAAATTGGGAAAAGGAAGAGGGATCATAAAGAGCCAGCAATGACTTCTTCAGGAATGGCAGCCCAATCTTATTTCCTCCATTGAAAGGAAGAATGCTATCGATATAAGTTAATGTAGATTTTAGCAAGATTATCTAGTGATAATCTGGTGGAAAAGATGAGAGAAACTTCGACTAGATGGTAGTACAATTAGGTAGATTTGGAACTGGTTCGATGGCTAGATTCAAGAGTAACCACTAACAACATAATGACAACTTGGAAGGAAGTGACCATTGAGGGTACTTGGGATCTGCATTTGGCTTTACATCACTTAACATTTTTATTAATGATGTGCATAAAGGCACATTTATAACATTTTCTAATATAGTAAGCTGGAAAGGCTAACTAACAAACTCAATTTTGAGTCAGTATTGAAAAAGATATTAATGGGCTAGACTACTGGGCTAAACTGAATAAAGTGGAATTTAATAAACATATTATATTCTTACTCTTAGATTAAAATCTTCCTAAAGTACACAATGGAGAATATGGATATATAATAGTTCAAGATTAAAAAAAGATCAATATATCAAGAAAAAAAAGCTCATGTAATCTTACGCTACAATAAGAGAGAACAGTTTCTAAGAATAAGTAATGACAGTTCTACTGTATTTACCCACATCTGGAATATTGTGTTTAATCCTAGGTAACATATTTTAAGAAGGATATTAATAAGAAGAAAATCATATTGGTGCTGGGCCAGTTGAAGGAAACTAGGGATATTCAACCTAAAAGTAAAATTTGTTATGGCACAGGTTGGACTGAGATATCCTTCCCAACTCTAAGTGTCTATAATTGTAAAAATAGATGTACAATCTCCTTTTTAATATATCAATGTTCCTTCTATTTCAGAAACTCAAAAACTTAACTATTGAATGTGATCCATATGCTCAATTTCTAGTATCTAAGCTAATGGAAAAAACAGAAAATAGCAAATAATCCAGATGTCATGAACATTTGGCTTTAAGAGTTCACTCCATTATGTTTTTCTCTAGTTGAGTTACCTTTTTAATAATATTTTTTTCTTAGGCAACTATTAAATTTGTTTTATTTCCTAAAAATAAATGGATTGATGAAGGTGGTAGCAGACAGGTCACAAAGTGTTTACAGTCAAAATGGCTACTAAATACAATAATGCTTAATATACAAACACTGCAAATGTAGTTAGTATGGAATCATTTTCAGAATATACAAACATGCCAAATTTTTTTTTCTTTCATTCCAATTCAACTTGACTCTCTTCTCAAAATGAAGCAGAACAGAAACCAACAAGTATCAAGAAATTGTTAAGATATCCTTTCTTACAGCCACTATTTTACTCAAGAATGACAAAAAAAGGTATTACTATAAAGACAGTCCCCCTTCTCCCCAAAATCCCTCTCAAAAAAGAGAAAAAGGAAGAAAAAAAGTTTCTCCAGCAAGATTCCTTCTATCTCTTCTCTGCATAGGCAATCTATTTCTTTTCTGAGAAGACAATCTCTCTCTCTCCAAAGATTCAACTATTCATGGCCTTTCGTGTCTTCTCTAAAACATGGTTAAAAGTATAGAAATATCTTTACAATAGGTTCTAGGGAATCTTAGGGTATAAACATGATAAAAGCTAAGTAAGTTAAAGATGTAGTTTCTAAAGACAGATTATTAAAGACCTAAATCTTGTTGTTTTTTTCCATGCCATTTCTCCCAACTTAAACTCCTTGATCCAAAGTAAAATTAATTGCTAAAATAACAGAAAGGGACCTTACAACTAGTGAAACCTCCTCATTTTGACAGATGAGAAACTGAAGGTTAAAGAAATGCATTTGCACAAAGTCACAAAGCCTATTAGTAGCAGAACTGGAGCTCACAACCAGGCTTCCTCACTATGGATGGTTTTTGTTCCTAAAGAAGCATGCTCCTTTTCTGCCCAGACCTCAAGTCTACTAATGGCTTAATATCAAAACTGTTCTATTAGCCAATAAACCCAGTTTCAGTTTATGTTCTGAGAGCCTACCCACAGCACCAACAAAAACTATTTGATATTATTTGGTGTTTATTTCCTTCTTTTTTTTCCTTCCCTCCATCATTTCTTTCCCTTGTAGCTTCACGATCTTGCTCAGTGTGTTTTTCTTTTTAATTTTCCCCCCCAAAGATTTGCCTTCTCTCCCTCCCACCTTCTCCTATGCCATAAGCCTCCTCGCCCTCCCCAAAGACCCCTAAAGATTCTTTCAATACACTTATGTCATTGGGTCATAAGATTTTAGTTGGAAAAAACTCTAAAATGCCATCTGGTTCAATACCATCAGTGTATAAAAGAGGAAACTGAGATACAGAAAGGATAAGACTTACTGAGGATCATAGAGGTAGGAAATAGCGAAGTCTGGAATCAAATACAAGTATTCTGATTCAAAATCTAGTAGAATAAGCTATCTTTTTCCTTCCTTGTTTATATACTTAATTTTTTTTAAACAATTCTCAATCCAGTGGTTTCTACAAAGGGAAAATGTGATATGCAAATATTTTTTAAAATAAATACTAGTATTAAATCATATAATAAACAACATACCATAGGCCCAAATAAAAGTCCAACATACAATATGTAGTCTGCTCTGAAATTACATTAAATGCTATTTAGTATTTAAATTCACTCTTTCAGCTTGCTCTCCACAAGTCTTACAAATAAACAGTGAAAATTGCGCAGCAATCTTCTACCCTAAAATTAAGCAGGTGCAAAAATATAGGAAAGGTAAAATTAACAGCCAACCATTAAGAATAGCAGTTAGTATTTTCAAGTTTTGTTTTATTCAAAAGTAGCATTTTATGAAAAAAGTGTGAAATATTTGACTTTGTTCAAAATTGAATATTGCAACATATACAGTATTTCCTTTATCTTACCTGATTCAGTGCACAGTGTGAAAGATACGTAAGTTTGAAGCAAGGTACAAGAGAAAGCTGTAAAACAAAGAAGAAAGTTCCTAAAAATCTTCAAAATCAGGTTAAATTCCTCTATAGACATGACTTTTTACTATACATATACAAATCACCACACTTAACTCCTTTCTTCATATTGTTTTAATATTAAATCAAGAAAAGCAGAGACTTTGAACCATTTCTATTTACATAAGCATACAAGAAACATAACAAAACTTGATGAATAATATTTTTGAATAAAAATTTTAAATGCAATGTTGATACTTATGTCTGTTTAGGATGGATAGAAACTAATTTCACCCAAAATGACCAAATCTAATTTGCTCATATAGAACAAAATATTACCTTAAATATAAAAATTATATTAACAGGTTGAAAGCAAAGAGAAGATTGTTGAGAAAATATTTTAGCAATTTATGTAAGTTATAACATTTTACATTTATGAATGGTAGTCTGATTTTTAAAAAAGTAAAAACACTTCAATCTGATTTTCCTGGGTACAAAAAAAAGCCATATACAAGAATAATTATACATTTATACATCTAAAATACATCAAAAAAGCAAAACATCCTCCTTTTATACTCATAAAGAAAAACAATACCCAATATTTATATAGTACTTTGAGGTTTTCAAAGCATGTGATATGCATTATTTCTTCTGTTCTTCATAACAACCTGTGATATAGATAACAGGAGATGGGAGATTTCCGCGAGCCTACCTCATAACTGACCTTGAAGTGACCTGGTACTTTGTTCTCATAATGTTTACAAACTTAAAACCTTAGCCATAACTCCAAAGATATTCAAGGATGAAGTTTTTTGTCAGTTACAAGATGTTTTTGTATCTTTATGTCACATGCTTTTCCTTATGTAGGAGAATCCAGTCCAACAATATTGAGGATTCCTAATATTGAATGCTCCTAATATTAGCTATACTCCCAGATTTATATTGGGTTACTTTGAAAACTCTAATAACTCTTCCAGAACATCATTATGGTATTGTTTCCTTTCTGAATGTCCTAAGTAGGATCAAAAAGTTATTTCACATTTAGTATCTCAGGGACTTACGTTCATCCACTTAGACAATGGAAAAACTCAATTTGTTAAGTAGAAGGGGAAAGAGCAAAAAAAGTTCTATTAATTTTTAACAAGAATTATTAGTATTGAAATCAAAATTTATAATGGACTACCAATCAAGGTATTACTGAGTTGATTCATTAAAAAAACCCACTGAAATCTATGCAAACACAAAGCTAATACAGTAACTTTTAAAAAATGAATTCTAATCAAGTGCCACTGAAGTGTCCAATAATCTTCTATGAAATTGGATTCACTTACTTTCACCATTATCAGGGAGCAAATTATGCATTATGACAGCCTAGAAAGCATATATTTGCAAAAGACAATCTCCCTGTTCAAGGACTACAACACGTGTAACAATCAAAATATAACACTGTAAGCAGAATCAAGAGAATCAGTAGAAATGATAGGAACATGAGACTTCATCTGTTTTATATTAAATAGAATTTTATTAATCAGTATTTATGAATATATGCCAGAAGTCTCTATATACCTATGCTAATACATGGCTTATACAAAACTGGAGTGGAAGAAAAAAACAAAACAAAATTTAACTGACTTCTATCCACTATAAATACATGCATTGAAACTGTTCACTGGAGTTAGCAATGATCCCTTAAATGGTCATACCTAATGGCCTTTTTTCATTGACCTATCTGCTGGAACTGTTGACAACCTTCTGGCTCTTAGGGACTCTCTCCATTCTGGGCTTCCATGAGACCTCCTAATTCTCCTCCTGAACCTTGTCAGACTGCTTCTTCGATCTCATTTGTCGGTTCTTGATCCATATCTGTATCATGCTACCTAACTGGGTATAATTTTCTTCCACTGGCCTTAGGTAATTGTGGCATAGAAATAGAAGACTTATGGAAAAAACAAAGACTTCTACTGAAAAGTGATGACTATCACACAGTAGGTAAACAGGCTATACTGGGGTGGTACAGTAAAGTTTTGGGGCATGGAATCAAGGTCTGGACCAGGTCATACCCTCAAATTAGTAGTAGAGAGCAAGCCTATATAACTATATTATAGAAGAAAGGATGCTAATGGAGATCAAGGAGTTTAGTGACCTCAAAGGAAGGCATGTAATTAAATTAAATAAAAGTCATGCAAGTCAGATTGCAAAATATAGCTTTTTCTTATTGAGGCTACACATTTAGTACACAATTACTGGAACAGAACACTAGCTATCTAAACCACATCTGAACTTTGACACAGTTATACCACTAATAGGCCTTTACCCCAAGAAGCCCAATGAAAGAGGAAAAGTATTAACAGGGCACAACAATATTTCTAGCATTGCTTTTTTTAGTGAAAAAGAACTGTAAACTAATGGGGTGTCAATTATATTGAAAAGAGATAAACAAACTGTGGCATATGAATGTAATGGGGTGCCCAGGAGGTACAGTGGAGAGAGTACTGGGTTTGAAGTCAGGAAAATCTGAGTTAAAATCTGGCCACAGATACTTACTAGCTGTGTGACCTTGGACAATTCACTAGACTCCTATTTGCCTCAGTTCCTCATCTACAAAAAATGGGGATACACTGGAGAAGGACATGGCAAACCATTCCAGTATCTTTGCCAAGAAAATCCCATGGACAAAAATTCATGGAGTCACATAGAGCTGGATACATACAAATGACTCAACAACAATCAGTGTAATGGAGTATTATTGTGATGTCAAAAAAAAATGTAAAAAAGAACATTTTGAGAAACCTAGGAAAACATATATGAACTTATGTAGAATGAAATGAGAAGAATGAAAAACAATTTCTAGAATAACAACAACATAAAGAAACACAACTTTGAAAGCCTTAAGAACACTGGTCAAAGTAAATACCAACCATATTTCCGAAGTACCAATGATGAAGCATGACAGTTCATTTTTAATAGGTGATGGATTTAAGATGCAGAATGAGATATACATTTTTGGACCTGACTGATGTAAAAACTTGTTTTGTTTCATTAGGTATATTTGTTATAAGGATCTTACTTTTCTTTTCAATAGTGGGTTAAAGGGAAGATGAGAGAATTACAAGGTTCTTGCTCCTCCTCAAAAAAAAAAACACACTATTTCATGTACAACTCTCTCCTTCTAGCCTAAAATGTATATGGAAACTAAATTTCTATAGCTAGACGTCACGCCTGAGGAAACCCATCTATTTATTGTAAGAGTGTTGCTAACTTTTGCTATTATAGTCTCTTTTATTATCCAGAAGTAGCTGCCTTTTTATAGTTCAGATTTTGATACAGAACTAGACTGAGAGGGTGAGCACTGCTAAGTTAACTGTATACTAGGGGAGATCTGCATTATTCAGACAGAACCTACAATTACGTCAGACAGCAAAAGTCTATCTTCTTGGTTTTTTAATAAAGATTTTTGTCTTATACTTTAAACAAGCTAATTAGTGGTTTATTTTAGAAGTAGTACTCCTATTATATTAATAATAACTGTTGAATGAAAGAATGTTTTCACAAGAATGTTAGACTTCGAAAAGTCTCAAAATAGCATTATTAGGTCAATACTTTCTTTTCAAATAACCTCTTTAGCTAAATGCAGACCTAGGAACTGAAGTAACAATAGGAGGAAATTTATGCATTATAAAAATTGTTTCTCTCAATCCATATTTTATCATTAAAACAAATATGCAATCAACAAATAAACAACAACTACTAAGGGCCATAACAGTGTTCTTTTGCTTTTTCCTCCACATAAGGTTAAGGTCTAATATTTCAGACCTTTTGTCTAGAGTATTATGTTCAATTCAGGGTACATAATTAAAAAAAAATTCTGGTATGCTGAAGAGTGTCCAGAGGAAAGATCATCAGAACAGAAAAATCCTTGAATCTGTTAGATAAGGATTAGTTAAGAGGAACTGGGCATGTTGAGCCTGGAGAAAAGAGAACTCAGACAGGATATGATATCTCTCTTTATTACTAGCAAGTGTGAATGGATTAGATTTGTTATATTTGGTCTCAGAGAGATTAATCAGGACCAATGGGTAGAAGGTGCAAAAAGGCAAATTTAGTTTTACTATCAGGAAAAATTCACATCTTTACAGTAAGTCTTGGAGAAAAGAAATTAATAAAAGTCCAACTTAAAAGTTAAGGAACCAAAGGGTAAATAATTTGCCTACAAGTAACACAGTCAATAAAGGACAGCTGGAATTAGAAGCTATATGTCTAATTGACTTCTGGTTCAGTACTTAACTGTCAGTTTTTTTAAAGGATAGAATACAGTAAAAAAAAAATTCTATAATTAGAAGAGAAATAAAAACCAATATATAAGTACGAAATATCCCAATAGCTTGAAAATGCCATCAAAATATTATTGAATAATTTTAAATGGTCATCTCCTAGGCATATAGGTGAAGAAAGAGAAAGATCATTAAATTATCACATAAATTTTATTTAAACTTTATTTATAGGTGTGAAGATAGGCAAAGAGAAGACACTTATGATAAGGAATCAGCATTTGATATCAAGATAATTAATAGTTTCAGCAAAATTTCAGACTGCAACAATAAGCCCACAAAATGTGTATTTGAATATAATGACAAAATCTAAAAGGCCGTAAGGGAAATAGAAACGGCACTCAAAATAACTACAAAATGCATAAAATCTGTGGATCAATCTACCACAGCAAATGAAATACTGGTATAGGTTCAATTACAAAGTGCTCCTTAAAGAAATAAAGTCCTTAAATACCTGAAGGCAGGTGGTCATGGCTGTACCATGCCAATTTAAACGAAATGACAATATTACCAAAGTTAATTTACAGTTTAATGCTATACCAAACAATCATATAGATAAAATAACAAGAAAATTCATTTTACATCTACAATATCAAGGGAAATAATGAAAAATGTAGAAATGAAGGAAGAATAGTATTTAATAAACAGTTATCAAAACCATAAACTGAGAAGTTTGTAAAGCCCTGG